TGTAACCCAGAGCTGCTGCAACCCATAGAAGCTCTGCCTCTCCCTCTTCCCCTCAGGATCTGCTTCATAACCCACCACTGGGCACAGCATGGACTCACACCGCTCTCCCCGCTGGGTTTGCTCTTCTGCCTTCACCTGTCCTTGATGTCTCAAGCAATTGAGACACAGACAAAGTGCACCTCACCTGGGTCCTCAGGCCTCAGTCTTCTCTCCCTGGAAGGGATCTGGATTTTTACCATCTTAATTTTGGGAGAGGGGGACATAGGCTATATCTATATAGACAGGGCTGTCCTTGAATCCTAACACTGCCTCAGCCTCCTGAGCACCGGATTTATGGCCAGCTTCAGCTATTTTAACCCTTCTGTGTGAGCTCCAGAATGTTTTATTTTGTTCAGTTGATACTTAAAAACCCCTCGTGTAGAGCATTTCTCAACCCTGGTCCTGGGAAGGACATCCTGTGGAAGCCTGCAGTGTAGACCCATCTATGACTGATATGTCACTCAGCACAGCCTTGGGACTCATCCTCATCTCAGCAGGTGTCAGGACGTCCTTCCTGGCACACAGGTGACTGCTGTCCTGTGTGAGTGAACCTTTCATCTGCGTCTGCCTCTGGCTGGTGACACAAGTGTGAAAAATCCTCTTGAGTCCCGCCTCTCCTGTTGTGTGTGTAGGAGGGACGTATACCCACAAGCTGGGCCACACCACCTAGGTCACACTTTTCCGTGGGGACAGCACCATTTTAGGTCCATGCCAGCGTGTGCAAAGCTTCTGATTGCTCTACACCCTCACCAGCATCTGTTACTTTTTTGTTTTACTTTTTGTAAAAGTTACATTACTTTTATTTATTTGTATGTGACGACACATGTGGTGGCATGCCTGTGAATGTCAGAGGTCAATTTGTAGGAATCAGTGCTGTCCTCCCACCATTTTGGTCCTGGGGATAGAACTTGGGCCCTCAGGCTTGGCTGCAAGCTCCCCTACCTTAACTCACCCTGTCATTGTTTCAGCCCTGTTTTGCTTTAAAAAAAAAAAAAAAGGGAAAAAGTTACTTTGTTTTGTTTTTGTTTTTCAAAACAGTGTTTCTCGGAGTAGTCCTGGCTGTCCTGGAGCTCACTCTGTAGAGCAGGCTGGCCTCAAACTCGGAGATGTGTCTGCCTCTGCCTCCCAAGTGCTGGGATTAAAGGCGTGTGCCACAACTGCCCTGCTAAAAGATTTGTTTGTTTGTTTTTAAGATTTATTTATTTATTATGTGTATAGTGTCCTGCCTGAAGGGCAGAAGAAGGCACCAGATTGAATTACGATGGTTGTGAGCCACCATGTGGGTGCTGGGAATTGAACTCAGGTTCTCTGGAAGAGCAGCCAATGCTCTTAACCACTGAGACCTCTCTCCAGCCCAAGATGTGTTCTTTTTTTAATTGAGGATGTGCATGCGTGTCTGTATGCGTGAAGCTCACCTGATCACCTACATGGCAATTTACTTTCAGATACTCTGCTGAGTTTCACTGATCTGACTTTCTGTTATTTTGACAGTGCCAATCTGTTTTCATTGCTATGGCTTAGTTGCTGTCTGTTTTGAAATGAAAAAGAGCGGATCCCCCGATTTTGTCAGTTTTCCAAACCAATTTGACTCTCAGGGTTGAGAGTCCATATGAATTTTAAGAGGCTGTTTTTCCATCTCTGCAACTTAATAAATGCCAGTGGGACTCTGCCAGGGCGGTGTGGCCTCTGCGACTGCTTTGGGTACTTTGGGCATCTTAGTGATTGTCTCCCAGCCCCTAAACATGGGGTGTCTTTGAATTTAGTTGTCATCTTAAAGTCCTTTCCACTCTTGGCTGGAATCATTCCTAAACATCTGAATGCTGGCATGGATGAAATGGCTTTACTTTCCTTCTTTATTTTGTTTTCGAGGTTTTGAGACACTCTCATGCAGCCCGGCTAGCCTTAAGCTTCCGTGTAGCTGGGGATGACTTTGAACTGCTCCATTCCGCTGCCTCCACCTCCATTCTTGGCTTAGTTTCCATTTCTGGGTTGTTCATTGCTTGCGTATAGAGACAGATGACTTTGTGTGTTGGCTTTGTATCTCAAAACTGCTGGATTTGTTTCTTATGGAGTCTTTAGAGTGAGAAAAGGGTTTTAGCAAACCCTGGTTCAAGGCCCTTGCTGCCAACCTTGTACGATTCTAGCTTTGTCCACTGCCAACAGCATCTTTGAAGGAGCTCTGCCCGCTCTTAAGCCTTCTTTATTTTGTACTCTTCGTGGTGCTGGCAATCAAACCTAGGGCCTTCCACATGCTAGGCAAGTGTTCCATCACTGAGTTGTATCCTTGGCTCTCTCCCAAGCCTTTTAAAGCCACCTGAAACAGGATCTCATTGCTTTCCCGAGCCTGGGTTTCCTCGCTTAACACAGTATTTTCCTACACAATTCATAATTTCATTTTTATTGATAAAATTCTATTGTGTGTATGTACTATCCATTCATCTGGTGATGGACATCTAGGCTGGTTCCATTTCCTTGCAAGTGTGACTTAAGAAGCAATGAATACAGTTGTATGAGTGCCTGAGCCAACATTTGATGGCAGGTGAATACACGCCGGGCACAGAACAGTCTATAGCCCTGCTCATGAACCCTGTCTGATGCACATTCCTTAGGTAGGGCACATAGTCTGAGTCCTCGAGGTGGCTGGAAGATGTCCGACCCATAGCAGTGGGGATAATGGGTTTCTGATACCTTTGTCAACACTGGGAAGAAATGAGACCTGCCTTTAACTCTACTGCTTCAAGGTGGAAAATAATGAAAGGAACCCGGGTAACCAGGATCTAGGATCCTGGAAGGCATGTGCACTTCTCCAGATTCTTATCTTGCCAGAAGAGAGAAGAACCTACTGTCTTCTCTTAGGAGTTCTTAGCACCCGCCACGGGACACATTGGTTTGCAGTGGAGTCTCAGAAGTGGCCACCTTGTGTCCCACTGAGGTCAGGAGACCTCCAGCCCCCATGGATATCACCCCGTCTGTGTGCTTGGCTGGGTGAGGAGTATCTGAACATGGATGCAGGGCTGGGTGCACTTTAAAAATGACTTTCCCTGCTTCAAAATGAGGCTGGCTTTGAGCCCCAAGCTCCTTCGGGGCTGTCTAAAATTAGCACCCTGGTGACAAGGCAGTCTTTGTCAGGGGCCTACAGCTTGCACCGGGAAGCAGGGAAATGTCAACAGCGCAGTTTCAGCATCAGTTTGAGTTTTTTCACAAGGCCAGGCAAATGGTGCTGCTTCAAAGGCTTTTAGAATCCAGGTTCTCAGTGGCTGTGTGATTAGACTGTTGGGTTGATAAGGTGCTGGCTTCATGTTAAGACAGCAGGGTCATTCCCTCCCCCACCCAGCATGGGGATAGTTGCAGAGGCCTGGCCACCAGCCTCTTTATTTGTGAAGTATTTTGAGCTCCCCCCCATTCCTTTGATGAGCTGAGCAGTGATTCTGGGTTGGACTGTACCCTTGGGGACATTCACTCACACATCCCAGAACTTGCCTGAAGGCTGGGGAAGTAGGCATCAGTTGTTGGGTGTGTTAGGGTATGGTCATGTGCCTATATCTTCCGGGAAAGGTAGTCTCCATACTGGCTGTGTGGGTGTGGAACCCAGACCCAGACACAGCTCTAGCTCTCCCCACTGGGTCTCAGTGCCCTTCCTGCACAGTTGGGTGGGCTGTTTGTGAAGTTCTCAGCCTAGGGACAGCAGATAAATGGTGCCACCTTTCATGTGTTTGTGAGCCGCAGTTTCAGGAACCCACAATGCTCATTCGTGCGGCGTCTAGAATTATGGATTTGGCATGTAGCCACCCTGAATTCGTGCAGGCAGGCATGAGCTATGCCTGTGACTTTCCACCTTCTTCCCATGAATGGAAGAGGCTTCAGGCTTTTTAAAATGAGAGCCCAGGCTCAGGATGGCAGAACCTGAGGCTGTGGCCTTGTTTGGGAATAAAGTCCTGGCAGATGGGACTGACTGAGGGTAGGTGTAGTCACCATCTGGTTGCTGTGACGAAACACCCGACAAAATCATCCTAAGGAAGGAAGGGTGGTGGTGGTGTACGGCTTTTATCCCAGCACTTGGGAGGCAGAGGCAGGCGGATCTCTGAGTTCGAGACCAACCTGGTGTCCAGAGCGAGTTCCAGGACAGCCGGGGTGGTTACACAGAGATACCATCTTGAAAAACAAAACAAAAGAAGGAGGAGGAGGAGGAGGAGGAGGAGGAGGAGGAGGAGGAGGGAGGGTTTATTGAGCTCACAGTTTGAGGGTCAGATCCATCATGGTGGGGAAGTATGGGGCAGCTGTCCTATGTCATCCATGATCAGGGAGCAGTGTGTGGGCATCTGATCACTTTCTGTTTTTTAATAGGTCTGGGAGCTCAGCCCATGGAATGGTTTCCCTTCCTCAGTTAACTAAACCTAGAGCCTCCCTTGAGCATGCCTGGAGGTCTGTCTCCTAGGTGACTCTAGATCCTGTCATGTTGATGGTTCATGTCAGCTGTCACATTTGTCAGGATGTGGTTCTTGGAATGGGTTCAAAGCTTGATGGCAGAGTCCTGGTAAGAGGCGGGATCGACACAGAGATTGGCAGCTGGAAGAGGCGAAGATGCCGAGTGCCACAGATTCATCGGAACCAGGAAGGGGTTTCCTGAGCCTCCAAGTGCGGCTCTGCTGTGACCCTGCAGAATAGACATGGAGATTGTTTCCATCGGTTTAAGCCGCCCAGTTTCTGTCACTTGCTTGACCTTAGGGAACCAGCTGGTCACTCCTGAAGTGTGAGACCAGGAGGTGGGGACTGTCTCCTGTTCTCTAAGTTGAATCTTCTTCCTTCAATTCAAGATTCCCAGATCAGCTTGTGTGACTCCTCCTCAGAAAACCCCATTTCTGATTGACAGTCTGACCGGGCCCAGGCCTGCTGGTAAGAGGCTGTCTGCCCGACCTCATCAACCTGAGGCAGCTTGTCTGATCATACTCTTGTCTCCCCAGGTCCGGGCCATACGGCTATCCTTTGTGGGGGAGCTGGGCTGGGAGCTGCATGTGCCCCGTGCATCCTGCTTACCAGTGTACCGGGCTGTGATGGCTGCAGGTGCCAAGCATGGCCTTGTCAATGCAGGCTACCGTGCCATTGACTCCCTGAGCATCGAGAAAGGTGAGCCCTGGGAGGTCACCCAAGCCACCAGGAAGAAGTTGAGGATGCTTCTGTCACTGGTGTCCAGATCTTCACATCATAAATCCCTCTATGCCCTAGCCTTGTGAATTTTCTCAAACCCTCCTCACTGCCTATGCACGGGGTCTCCCATGCAGGGCTTCCCATCCCGGGGTGCCCAATACCTGCACACACCTGGACTCAGAGGTGAGACGCTGTCTAGACTCTGTGGGAGTAGGCCTCAGTGGGGAGGGGTTGAATTCAGCACTCTGGGCTCCTTGAGAGAATCTTTTGAAGAGTTTGGTCCTGGAGGTTGACCCCAGGGCCTCACATATGCCTATGTGGGGGTTCTACTACTAGAGGCACCCAGATATCTCCCGAGAGGTAAGGACTCGGAACAGGATGGCTGCTAAGAAGTGGCCACCTCACTTCCTTTAAAAGGCACGCAAAGTTCAGAGTGGGATCTGCCCTTCCCCTAGGGTCCACCAAAAACCCCACCCTGATGGTACAAGGGACCAGAAAGCTCACAGGACTAGTCTGCTCCAGGAGCTCATATAGGGAACCTTCTGGAGTCCAGGGTCTACCCCATCTTCCTGGGTTGCCTAGGTTGCTAAGCAACAGTGAAGGCGGGGATTGGGGGACGGGGTAGTGTGGGTTTGTATCCTCTAAAGACTTGCTGCTCATCTCAGCCGGACACTCACCCGCGTCCTCCTTGTGCCACAGGCTATCGGCACTGGCACGCAGACCTGAGGCCTGATGACAGCCCCCTGGAGGCAGGATTGGCCTTCACCTGTAAGCTCAAGTCCTCAGTGCCCTTCCTAGGCCGGGAGGCCTTGGAGAAGCAGCGAGCGGCAGGCCTCTACCGACGCCTGGTGTGCCTCACTGTGGAAGAGTGAGTGTTCTGGCCCGTAGGGTGACCGTCCACACTGATGAGGTGGTACTTACTATTTCCAGTGAGAGCCCCTGCGACCGGCTAGTCCCTCAGGTCAGCCAGCCTCCCTTTCAAAATGGCCCATTGCAGATGGGAAAAATGAGGCCTAGGAGACCCAAATCTACAACACAAGATCTACGTCATGGTAAAAGCAGAACTGGCATGAAAATTCAGACTCCTCGGGGGCTGAGTGGGTCAGAAATGGGTCAGAGGTAGGGCAGGGCCCCAGGGCCATAGAAAAGGCTTAACCTTCTCTAATGAAGTCGTTTAGAAGGGAAAGGTGACGCAGCCAGGCTGGCTTCTCTGTGGTGAGTAGAGCCAGGCCTGGTGACTTGGGAGGGTGAGCCCTGCTTACGAGTTGGTGCCCCTGACCCTTTGCAGCCTCCTCCTATCCGGTTTCATTTCAATCCTGTCTAGGCAGAACCGTCCTCTGTTTATAAATGAGGGCCGTCACGCGACAGACTCACACCCAGTCACACAGCCGAGGTGAAAGGAGAGACCCTTTCTGGGAAACTCAACCCTCCATTGTGCTCACCAAGAAACAGCTCAGAACATGTCACTGGGAGCCAAGCTCAAGTGCTCCAAGTCACCAGGAGAGTTCGGATCCTGGGGGCCTGGGTTGTACAAGGGGCAGAGTTACACACTGGGTAGTGTTGCAGTTCATGGTGGCACCCATAGGGATTCTCATAGCAACTGTCTCCAGGAGGGGAGACGGCTTGGGCGTTGCTTTGCAGCTGACAGTCAGCCACAAGTGCTGCCACTTGGCTCAGGGCGTCAAGGGTGATGAGAGACAATGAACAGAACAGGCATTGTCATCACACTGTGGCTGCTTCTTGAGGTCTCACCTAGTCCCCTGAGGACTGCCCAGCTTGGGTGGCAGGGGCCTCTTGGGTGGGGCAGAGCTGCCATAGTCCCCCCTGAACCTCTATGAAGCTTCTGAGGCCCGTGTTAACTCCAGAGCTGAGGGTCAACGCCTGTCCTGTTCAGCGGCTTCCTCCTTCCTGCCTCTGAAGCTCTCGGCTACAAAGCGCACAGTGCTGTGTGCCTGCTGCTTGGAGGGGGCTTGGGTGAGTTGAGCCTCTAAGATGCCGCTTTGTCCCTTGGAGAATGACTAGAGAGGATGCAGGGGAGGAGGTGTTCACCAAGCCTTCATCCTGGCCCCTATCCTCTGGTGGGTGGGACTCAGATGGTGTGGCTCTGAGTTGCAGATCCAAGAGGACATCTGAATCTGTCCTGATTCTTGTTATTCTGGGAGGGTTTGCCACCATTGTGGCTCTGATAACAGCCCAGAGGAACAGTCTGCAGAAAGCCTCAAGTGTTACCACGATCTGAGCATTTACATTTCTAGGTTTTGGTGGGTTTCTTTTTCTTTTTGTCTGCCATTTTGAATTTTGTATCAAAAGCTTTAGTATTAATATAGTACATTGATAAAGAAAAATCCTTTAGGTGAAGCAGATAACCAGAACACTGTAAAAGAAGCCCACCATTTGGCAGTTAAATGAACTAGATTCAGCATAATCTCTATCAAAATTCTAATGGAATTCTTCATTGAACTAGAAAAAAATCCTGAAATTTATATGGAAGCAGAAGAACCAGAATTGCCAAAGGAATCCGGAGCAGAGAGAGAGAGAGAGAGAGAGAGAGAGAGACAGAGACAGAGACAGAGACAGAGACAGAGACAGAGAGACAGAGAGAGAAAGGAGGCATCATTATACCTGACCTCAAACTATATCACAGAGCCATAGTGATAAAGCCAGCATGGTCCTGGCATAAACACAGACATGTAGACCCATGTTACAAATAGAGGACCCAGGAACAAGCCACAAACTCTTACTGTCACTTGATTCTCAGCAAAGGTGGATCCAAGACCACATGAGAGAGACACAGCCTCTTTAATAATGGTGCTGGCAAAACTGGATATCCACATGTGGAAGTGGAAGTAGACCCCTGCCTTTCATCCTACATGAAAACAATCCCAAAGTGGATGAGATCGTAATCTCCTGAAATTCTGAGACTTCCAAGAGGAACACTGAGGGAAGGCACCTCAAGGATACAAATGTAGGCAAGGCCTACTGAGTGGGACTCCAGCAGCTCAGGAAGTGAGCAAGTGAACAGAGGAATGGGGTTGCATGAAATAAAAGCGATTCTTCACAGCAAAGTAAACAATCACCAGAGTGAAGAAACCGCCTGCAGAATGGGAGAGATCCATCTGACGGGATAAATGCTCAGAATGCACAAACAACAACAAGATTCAACAACAGTCCCTCAAATAATCCAGTGAGTAAGTATGCAAATGAGCTGGACAGACAGCTGAAAAGGAAGAGAAATGCAAATGGCCAATAAACGTATGAAAAATGACTCGGTGTCTTCAGCTGTGAGGTGAACGCAAGCCAGAACTATGCTGAGAGTCCGTCTCGCCCCAGTCAGAGAGGCTGACGCCGAGAGAAGGAATGGCAGCCAACGCTGGTGTGGATTCAGGGAAAGAGGAACTTTATCCACTGCTGCTGGGAATGCAAGTCACTCTAGCCCCTGTGGCCAAGGGACTTCCATATGACTCAGCTCCGCCCTCCTGGTGTCACCAAAGGGCTCTGAGTAATCAGGCCACAGAAGCACTTGACAGCCGTGGCTACTGCAACAGTGTTCATAATAACCAAGGTTCAGAACCAGCCCAAGTGCCCATCAATGCATGAATTTTATTTTTATTGTCTTATTTATTTATTTTTGAGGCAAGGATTCATTATGTAGACTTGGCTGACCTGGAACTCGCCATGTAGACCAGGCTAACCTTGAACTCATATCGTTCTGCCTGCCTCTGCCTCCTGAGTTCTGGAACTAAAGGTGTGTACCCTGATGCCCAGATATGGTACACACACAATGGTGTATGATTTACCCATTGTTTATCCATAAATAAGAATGGAATTGCAGTTTTATTTTTTGTAGGGATGTGTTTTATGCATTATTTTAAGAATCTTTATGTGTGTGTTTGTGCAAGTGTGTGGTGTGTGTGTGTGTGTGTGTGTGTGTGTGTGTGGTGTGTGTGTGTCATGAAAGTAGACTGGGTGGGTAGAGAGGGGATAAGAGAGTGCGGCTGAATGAATGTGAACAGAGCGAATACGTACACATATGCTGGCTTCACAATGAAATAGAGTATTGGTCTTTTTAAAAGGTTTTATTTTGTTTATATGCATGTGCTTGTCTGTGCGCATGTGTGCTGTAAGTGCATGGGTGCCTGCAGAGGTCAGCAGAGGGCGTAGGACTCCCTGGGGGTTGTGAATACCTGGCCACGGGTGCTGAGAAATGAGCTGTGGTCCTCCACGAGAACTCTTAGCTGCTGAGCTATCTTTCCAGGTCCCTCACTATTTTCTACTTCATATAGACCCCAAAAGGAAGTTAAATGAAAAGGACATGGAGTGTGGCCTTTCAGAAGCCTCAGGGCTGCAGTCAGCTTTATAGTTACATTTCTACTCATTCCCTCCCTTCCTGTCCCCTGTCATCCTAGCTTAGGTGCTGGGCAATTGGGGGCTTTCAAGGACCTGGTAGTGTAGCTGCACCAATATGGGGCATGCGCTCTTATAGGTTCAGTCCGGCTGCCTCGTTTCCCCAGGCTGTGTTCCCACCACAGTCTGGGGTTCCAGCCGTCTTCTTGTTTCTTCCAGGGCGGTGCCTATGTTTGGCCTGGAGGCCATCTGGAGAAACGGCCAAGTGGTGGGCCATGTTCGGAGGGCTGACTTCGGGTTCACGGTGAACAAAACCATCGCCTATGGCTACATCCGAGACCCCAGTGGTGGGCCGGTAAGCCCTGTTCCCTGTCCCTTTGCAGGCTCCACACCGGATCCTCAGGAGCACACCTGTGCATGCCGGGAACACAGGAGGAAGGAAGCCAGGAAGGGTGGAGGAGTGCCCAATCCTGGTCTCCAGCAGCATCTTGCCAGTTTTTTTTTAATCTCCAAAAGAAACTGACTGTGGCAGCCCCAGGATTTTCTTGATGGAAAGGAGTTGTAGGGCCTGGGGCAACATTCTCTGGTCCTAGAGGCTAGGGGACCATCTCTGCCCTTTCTCCTCACCCCAACAAGTGAGCCAAACCCAGGCTGCAGATGCTGGGCCAGCTCTGACAGCCACAGGAGGGTACCAGCTATGTCCCCAGGAGGAGAGGGGTGGCCTTTACCTCTTCCAGCCTTCCAGCCACGGGTGTGGAGGTGTAGTGAGTAGTGCCATTTAGTTTCACACCATCTTTGCCCAAGTCTCACTGAGGTCTCCTGTGCCTCAACTCCAGTTCCAGAGATGGTGACTTGGCTCTGTCTTCTAGCCTGACGCCAAGACTAGTTGAACCACAGTGTCCGGCTGAATGGAGGAAGGGGGTACCAGCATGGGGAAGAGGCAAGGACAAGCGGCTACCATGGGGCCTAAGGGGTCCCCTGACTTTTGAAGCCCAGGTGGGGGTGGCTGAAGGTGGAGAAGGGGCCTGAGCTGGAGCAGGAGGCTTAGGACACAGGCTTAGCTTGAGGCTGTGTTTTTGTTTTTGTTTTTCTTGCTCTGTGAACATGGACTGGGGCTTTCTCTAAGATCCCAAGATTTTCCTATAGGAAAGAGCGTGGGCTTCCACCCTCCTCACAGGAGTCCAGTGTGGACCACCACACCGAGTGGAACTTGATTGACAGTCATCAAATGTTGCAAACCAGCCTATGGTGGCTACACAGGACTTTCTTAACACTGAGAGGCCTCAACCTGGGTTCCAGCCAAGGCAAAACTAGAAGTTCACTTGCTGGGAAGGGGAGAGCCCACAGCCTTTTCTTTCAAAGATCAATGCTACCCACCCTTTCTCTGGTTTCTGACAAACAGAGCCTAGGAGTCCCAGCATAAACCCCACACAGACAAGGAGCCCAGCACTGAAGGTGATCAAAGGAATGAGAAGTTCATGTCCTGCTGCTGTGATCAAGCTTCTAGAATATTCATGGCATGAGAGTGGGCAGATGCTGCAAACCAACCCCCTCTCCCTGTACTTATCAGTGCTCTGGTGGGATAACCCACATTTCTAAGAAAGACTAAGGAGCAGGGGGGAGGGAAGGGAGCAGGATTCTGTGGCACGTGGGTGTTTATCAACTGTACTGGGCTAGTCCCAGAACACTCTGAAATCTACCAGCCTCCCGGTCGTATAGGGAAGTACATGCACACAGGGCTCACCCCTAGAGATCCTGTGGCTTAAAAAGCCATGTTGCTTTTTTCTCTTTTTTATCCAGTCCTGAGCCACCTGGAAGGAATGAGGCAGAAGAAGCCCCAGCCCCTTCCAGCCAGGGCCTGGAGTCCTCATTGTACACAAAGAAGCAGCTCCTTGGGTGGCCTAGGAGTGTCCTCCCTCCAGCACAGCAGAGTGTGCTACAGCACTCTCCCTTGTCTGAGGAGCACCTGCTCCGGTTAACAGCCCCAGTGCTTGCTGAGAACAGGGTTGGAGGAGGGAGGGTACAGGGGCTACTCTGTCCAGAGAGCTGTTCCGTCCACCCTGTCCCTCAGGATAGCATGTCTGGCCACTGGCCCCTGCCCTATAGTAATGGTGTGTGTGTCTGGCTCTAAAACCACCCAGGCTCCTGCCTGAGTCCCGTCTTACAGGCGGCTTGGAACAGGTCACAGGAACAGGGCGTGCTGAGGGAGAGGTCTTGCTGGCTACTGGGGCTGAGCTGTGACGGGCTCAGATATTCCTGTCTGACTCGTGGACACAGGGCACACCATCTGCTGTTCTACTCCATAGGGCTTGGGGCAGGGGTTGACTTTTCAGAGAGTTAGTGATGGGGAACTCTAGACCACCTCCCAGTAACAACTGAGTGACCTTGACTTCCCTCTGCTCCTAGGTCTCTCTGGACTTTGTGAAGAGTGGAGAGTATGCCTTGGAGAGAATGGGGGTCACCTATCCTGCCCAGGTTCACCTGAAGTCTCTCTTTGACCCTGACAACAAGCGGGTGAAGGGCATCTCCTGACGGGCTGCAGGATGGAGGCTCCAGCTGCTCAGGCCATTGGAAACTGCCCACGCTTCCCACACACTGCCTGCCGACTCCTGTGTCCTGAGACCCAGGATACAGGCAAAACATAGCCGTCCCCATCCTTAGCCTCCATCTGGCCCTGCCCCATCCTTAGCCTCCATCTGGTCCTGCCCCATCCTTAGCCTCCATCTGGTCCTGCTAATTATCCTAGCTCCTAAACAGGACTGATGGACCACGGAGTTCCTCCTGCTCACAGACCACACAGGGGTCTCCAATCCACCCTAGTCCTCCCAAAATGTATCCTGCAGATGTCTTAGCTCAAGGTTCCTGTGAATATCTCAGAAGATGTATGCTAACCCAAGATAAGAGCCAGAAGGCAGACAGGCAGGCTTCCCCTCTGTTCCTCACCCTGGCTTATTGGCAATGTGTAGCCTGAGCCCTTGAAGAATAGTGAATCAGGGGACAGTGAGCAGGGATTGATGAGCAATGTCTGCTACGGGTATAGGATGCAGAGCACAGAGATAATGTGCTGGGCTGGTGCAGTCCTTCCTCAGGATGGCTGCCTTTCAGACCAGAGAGGAGACGGGTAATACAAAGCTCTTGCCTTAACTTTTCAGTTCTGCAGGAGAGAAAGCTGTCTGAGAGGCACCCCCTGTGACACGGGATGGGGTAACATGGCATGGGATTCAGATCAGAAACCTCCATTAGCTACACAGAAGTGTTGGCCTCTGCCTCAGTTACCCCTGAAGCCATTGCTCGTGGGCCCAGGGACTCCAGGCTTCTATTGTGTATGGCCCTGCTGGGGCACTCCTTTCCAAAGACTTCTGTCTCTATCACAGATTCACCCTGCTCACCCCACCTCTGGTTGGGGGAGTGGCTCCTCTCACGTTGTCCTGTAACCACCTACGCCTGCCTGCACGTCAGGAATGACCCTGTGTCTTCCCGGGGTGAATGTCTGTCACTTTTCTATAGACCCAATCCTTTCTCCTCTGCCTCACACCCTGACTTGGACATTAGGATGCTGTGACCATGCAGTCTTACAGTTTCTGCCTTGCATTCCAGGAGAACAGGGGTCAGATGCTGTGGCAGTACAGAGCTGGGGCCTCCTAACCTAAAGAAAGCAGCAGAGGGGAGAGATGGGCACAGATGTCCTGGGTGGGCTCTGAATCTTCACACCACACACCGAGCTGGAAAAGGTCAAGCTAATAAAACTGAAGCCATGGGAAGATGTGTGGGGTATAGTTGGCCTTTCAAAAGCAGATCTGGTCCCCTGAGTCTGGGGCCTGGCTGGAGGCGGGAGGGTGTGGAGGAACCTCTGGATGACTGAAGGAGCACCTGTGGTCTCTGGGGACCACGGTGCTGGCTCTCGGATGACATGAGTTTTGTGGAGCCAGAGAAGAGAAGAGGGGGAGGAGTGAGAAGGGGAGGGGAAGACAGAGGAGGGGAGAGTGGGGAACAAGTGAAGGGGGGGGTAAAGAAGAGGAGGGGAGGAGGAAGGAGGGAAGGCAGCTTGCCCAGCCTTCCCTCCCCCAATTCTGAGGTCTGGCTAAGACCCCCAGGTTGGGCCAATGACCACATGTAGCTCACAACCTGTCCTTGGGGACAGCTCAGGACAAGGGAGGTCTGAGTGCTTTCCCAGCCTAACTCGTTTCTCTCAGACTTCAATGCCTTTCCCATGCCTGCCTGCCTCCCCCATGCACAGTCCTTGGAAGGGTGTTGGGTCCCTGAGTGAGAGCAGCTGTCAAGAATCACACTCCCCACACACATACACACTTCAAGTTCATCTGGAAAGTCCCTGAAGTGCCTTTGCCCAGAGCACCCCATCCTGGATGGATCACAGAGACCTCAGCCCGGCTTCCCGCACTGTCAATCTAGAGGCACTTCTCAGAGCTACATTTTAAAACTTCTTTTCCCTGGAAAACGAAGCACGACGGCCCCCACTGTGGCTGAGCATCGCCTATCAGAAATCACGGGAAAACTGATGTGGAAATGCCTGAAGTATGGAGAGCAGAGTGTATCAGGCAGTGGAGGGAGACGACGGGTTCTTGGTACCCTCAGATGCCTCACTGAGATACAACAGTGTTGGGGTTCAGAGGTTTCCAGGGTGGAGCTGTCACTGCAGAGGACAGGGGACGGGCACACGCATGGGCTTGCTGACCCTGTCCTGGTCTATGTTACCCTGAGCATTGCTTTCTTCAGGGCTGGAGAGATGGCTCTTAGGTAAGGTGCTTGGCCTGTAAGCCTGAGAACCTGAGTGCGGATCCCCAGTACCCAAGTAAACCCTGATGTGGCGTCACATTTCTGTGACTCTAGCACTTGGGGATGGAGGAGGACTCAGAGACAGGCAGATCTCCAGAGTTTGCTGGCCACCCAGCCTAGACAATTTATGAGACCCAGGTTTAAGGAGAGACCCCGTCTCAAGCAATGAGGATGAAGGTGACAGGAAGACAGCTGACATCAACTTCTGGTCTTGGCATGTATGGGTACACATGTACTTGCACACCTTCATGTGTAAGGACACACACATAGAGAATGCTTGCACTAGAACAAGGCCGGCATACCGCACCACACCTTCAGTGTGAGACCGAGAGGAGCCCCTGGCAGAGTGAGATGCCCATTTGCCTGGTAAGGACTGAGGCCCTGGTAGCAAAATGCCCAAGTCACCCCTACTGTCTTCCCTCCCACACATCCCAGAGGCTTCCTATGCACGGTGCTGGCACAGGCCACGTCTCTTTAGCCTGTGTGTAAGACAGCAGAAATGTTGACAGAATAGCAGAGGGAGGCACAGACAGGCAGTGGACTGCAAGCTGCTCGTTTGTCATGGTCCTGAGGTAGGCCTGACCAGCATGCTACATGCCCTGGTATCTAAACTACTCAACTGATAAATGGAGCTGTCTCACTCTGCGTCAGCTTAGGGACTCTGCCTGGAAGACCAACGATGCCCCCAGGAGCTCCATCCAGCCTGGCTGAGCCCATGCATTCATCTTACCTCTACCACATGGGGACTCAGAGGCCAGAGGGATTGCCAAGGACAGCCTAAGTGACAGCCCTGTCACTCTTAAGGGCAAGGGAGAGCAGGCAGGCAAGTGGTTCTGGGTCTCTGGGAAGTGAGCTGGAAGAAGCCCACAGACAGAGCCAAGGCCTTATGAGTCCCTCCAGGCCCAACCTGTATGTGGGCAGAGGGAACCAGGCTGTTACTGTGGTGGCTGAGAGGCAGACAATGGTGGGTCTCTGTGAAGAGCATCAGAGGATGGCTAACTCAAGCTGTTACACATCAGGTGACCATCCTGTCAAGATGCAAAATAGACAGCATGTTCCCTGACTTCCTGCTGGTTCAGTCACTCCTGGCAAGTTGTGGATCCAGTCAGGTCAAATAGCCCCCCCAATACCCCAGCATGTGGCCCCTCCCACCTTTGGTCACTTCCTGCCTTTGTCTTTATTCTCCCTGAAGTCTTCAGTAAAGCAGCTCCCACGCAGACCTGCTCAGCTTCTAGACACCAAACTTGGGCTGCCCGGGCACTGAGACTTCCAGCTTCTTCCACCAAAGACCCGGCGGTGTCACTACCTGTGAGTAGGCACTTTGCATGGGTGCCCAGGTTCTTGGGTTCCCACTGCTAAGCAAGCTACAGCGACAGCCAGCTCAGGGAGCTTTAGACAGCTGGAAAGCCCAGGAAGACCTGTATGCAGGCTGGTGGAAACATCTTAGGAGGTCACTACAGCTCGTGGGGTGCCCTACACACTAGCTCTGCACTGGGTGCGGAATCTCTGCCTTCTGCATTGCAGGTGGTGGGTGTCCCTTAGCCTCAAAGACAGGTCCTACTCCAAGTGCCCCACAGGAAATCCCTGCAGCTGTGTAGGTGGCTATGTCTAGAGCCACTGATAATTGGTCTGCTGAGGTGTACCTGGAGAGAGGCTTGGGATTTCCAACCCATGGTGGCCCTTTGAAGTTCACTTGGTGCCACAATTCCAAGAAGCGCCCCACAATGATTGGATACTGTGTGGATGCCCCATCCAATGTGGAAGCTGTGAGACACATAATGTTGCTGAGCCCTGACATGAAAGGATGACACCAAAAGGGAACTGTAAATATTCCACAGTAAGGATGAGTGTGTGTGTGTGTGTGTGTGTGTGTATGTATGTGTGTGTGTGTTTATGAACATGCATATCTGTGCATGCATATACAGGTGTATAGTGGTCAGAGGTCAACTTTGGGTTTCGTTCTTCAGTTGTCTACCTTGTTTTCTGAGACAAGGCCTCTCACTGGGATCCGAAGCTCACTGGGTTAGGCTAGGCTGACAAGGCAGCCAGCCTCAGGGATCCCCTTGATTTCCCCCCAGCCCCAGTGCTAGGACTATAAACACACACCCTCACATGGGTTCTGGGGATTGAGCTCAGGTCCTCATGCTTGCATGACAAGTGTTTTACTGACAGAGCTGTGTCACTTTTGAGACAGAGTATCATGTAGACCAAGCTGGCCTCTTGAACTCTGTTGTATAGCCAGGGATGACCTTGAATTTCTGATCCTCCTGCCTCTACTTCCCAAGTGCTGGGATAACGGGTGTACTCATGTAACTGCCCAGTTTAACATGGCCCTGGGCATAGAAGCTAGGGCTTTGTGCATGTTAGGTTACGTGTTCTACCAACTGAGCTACTTCCGTAACCTTGCCGCTCACCAGTTTTGATTAATCTAAATAAAAATTAAATAGCCAGCAGGGACTGAGGGTTACCAGGTAGCACTGCCCTGGGGAGCAGCTCATGAAAGACCTTGTCCCTGGCTTGGGGACACCCTGCTTGTACCCAAGGCCCTCTCAATACTGTTAGAGAGCAGCACCCTCCATCTGCTGGCGCTTCCTAAAAGCCCTGGCTTCTGGGAGGTGAGCAAGCTCCACAGGATACCCAAGCCCGGCAAGGGAAAGCACCACACCCAGTGAGGCGGGGCTGACTCGCACTCAGGCCTTCTCCACCACCCCAATTCAGAAGAGGGGTGTTCTGGAGACCTCCTTTGGCAAAGAACATTTGGGAGGGATGTGTCGCCCTTATGTTCTGCAGATATCTTGCCACCTAACCCCAGGTCTCTGCGCCTCAGTTTTCTCAGTTGTCTAGGGAAGAGACAAAGGGAGTCCTTGAGGTTTGGGTAGCTTGAGGAGACCCCATATGCCTCATCTGGCAGTTGCAGCAACACCCCGGCCTCCTTGGTGAGGCCTGTTGCAACAGAAACAGGATGGTGTCAGGTGGCTTCCGTGGAGAAAGATCATGACAGCCTGGAGGGGACTCAGGGGACTGTGGGTCTGGACGTGTCCCATGGGCAGCAGTCAGATCCTCTTGTAGTCCCCGGGCGAGGCACTGCCCCACGAGCCTCAGTTTCCCTGTCTGTAAGTTGGCACACCACTAGGGGTAAGGTGACTGTTGAACGTTAGGCTCCTCAGAGCTCCACGAGTCTTTCTTGTACTCTCTGGCTCTAGGCTACTTTCACAGGCAGCCCTAGGGGGAAGGCAGGGCTATGGAGTCTGCTTGCCTCCCCCATCTCTGAGGCCATAAAGATGACAGAGGGCTGAGCATTGCTCTGGGCTGTCAGACCTGGCATTTCACACCGATTACGCCTATGACTTATGGGCACCTGGAGCGGTGATTCATAGCACACAACGCAGAGAGTCCGGGCACCTTCGCTTCCCAGTAATAAAGTGCCTTTCTGAAGGGGAGGCAGCGCTTAGCTGATGTCTGTGGTCGTGGGGGACACAGAGCTCATCCATCACCCTCCCTGCCCAAGGAGCCTGGCCGGCATTTTGCTGAAATAGCTGAAAAGATCCCAGTTCCCGTCTCCCTTCCAAAGCCCTCAAAGAGCTGAGCTGGCCCTTAAACAGGAGATGAGGGAGAGAAGGACTCGGGGAGGGCAGAGGTGACTAGAATTATAGAAGCAGGCCTCACTCCCACGGGGCAATGTGTATGACACCATGGGGCTGAGAAGGTCTCAGCACCGGGAGCAGGAACATCGGCCCTGCCTAGGTGTCCACGGTTGATGCCAGGTGAGGGTCAGTCTCATTTGACAGACAAGAAGACTGAGGGTCAGGCAGCCAAGTGGCTTACTCTAGTCACTCCTTCACTGGAGGGCGAAGCCAAGCTTTCACCTACCTACTCCAGAGCCTGGTCTGTCACCAGCAAAAGGAGTAATCGACTTGAACCATCCCATCCCCCCCAGAGCCCAGCTCTAGCCCTCCTGGATTTCCAT